GTACCTAATTTGTCATACAATTCTGATTTACTTTAGGCTATGTACGGAATGTCAATTTTCGGACCAGCAGTACATCGCACTATTAGCAGCGACTAGTTTGATATATTGTGAGACGTTCATGTATATATTTTTACGTTTGCCAAAGGAGGGATGTATCGATAGACTTCTCTGTTAGGGGGATATATAATATCCAATTCGTCTAAAATCGCCTAGCAATTGTCGCTCTTGACGAAATGTCAATTTTCCGACCAGTCGTACGTCACACTGCTACATGCCAGTCCTTTGCAATTTTGTGAGACGTTTGAGTATATATTTTGGAGTGTGCTCTTGAATGGATTTAATGAATGATGTTGACGCTGGTGACAGCATAATATTTGTTATTTAGTGAGATGTTTTGGGATAAATTTTTACATTTGCCCTACTGAGGACTCGTTGATTGGTCATTCTATTCGTGAGATATTGAGTATCTAATTTGTCATACAATTTGTCTGATTCACTTTGGGCTATGTACGGAATGTCAATTTTCGGACCAGCTGTACATCGCACTGGTAGCAGCGACTAGGTTGATATATTGTGAGACGTTTATGTATATATTTTTACGTTTGCCAAAGGAGGGATGTATCGATTGACTTCTCTGTTAGTGGGATATATAATATCCAATTCGTCTTAAATCGCTTATGCAATTTGCGCTCTTGACGAAATGTCAATTTTCCGTCCAGTCGTACATCACACTTTTATATGCCAGTCCTTTGCAATTTTGTGAGACGTTTAGGTATATATTTTTGAGTATGCTCTTGAATGGATTTAATGAATGATGTTCCCGTTCGTGATATATTTTATATCTAATTCGTCTTAAATCTATGATGCAGTTTGTGCTCTGGAGGAAATGTCAATTTTCGGGCCAGTCGTACGTAACACTGGTGGCAGCATGATATGTGTTGTTTAGTGAGATGTTTCAGGATACATTTTTACATTTGCCCTACCGAGGACTCGTTGATTGGTCATTCTATTCGTGAGATATTGAGTATCTAATTTGTCATACAAGTCTGATTTACTTTTGGCTATGTACGGAATGTCATTTACTCAGTAGTTAGTAGGTAGTTACCAGTTTCGCTACCAGGTGGCTGATTCGGGGGAATTAACATGGCAGGGTATTGCAAAATTCCCTTACTTGAATATGCATCAGTTTTAATGGTTCACTTTTCATATTACCTTTATGTATCTAAAGAGTCGTACAAATTAAAATATGTCCAGTAAAAGAAAATAATATCTGCCCAACACAAGAAAAGATATTTCACTTTTTGTGGTTTTACAACATGGGCTCCATGGGCAATCTCCCCGACCTAGAAGTCACATTTTCAAAGAAAATTAAATTTTCAAAGTTGATAAACTCTTTTCAAAACCACATTTTTAAATGTCATTTTACATGTAGATTCCAAATATGACATCAGTTTGAATGAATTGTGAATTTTTATTGACGTAAATCAAGATTATTTCTACTCGCATCTGAGATATTGTCGGACCAGCTGTACATCGCACTGGTAGCAGCGACTCGTTTGATATATTGTGAGACGTTTATGTATATATTTTTACGTTTGCCAAAGGAGGGATGTATCAATTGACTTCTCTGTTAGGGGGATATATAATATCCAATTCGTGTTAAATCGCTTATGCAATTTGCACTCTTGACGAAATGTCAATTTTCCGACCAGCCGTTAGTCACACTGCTATTAGCAAGTCCTTTGCTATTTTGTGAGACGTTTAAGTTAATATTTTGAAGTATGCCCTTGAATGGACTTAATGAATGCTATTCCCGTTCGTGATATATCTTATTTCTATTTTATATATGGATTTAATGAATGATGTTCCCGTTCATGATATATTTTATATCTAATTCGTCTTAAATCTATGATGCAGTTTGTGCTGTGGACGAAATGTCAATTTTCGGACTTTTTTCAATTTACATGTATACCTACATATACATATATCTAAGACGTTTTAGAAAAACGGGTGTGAACTTAATCATATTTCGTAAGACGTCTTAACAATTGGTGGTGTAAACTCGATATAATTTTCCTAAAACGTTTTAGCCAAGACGTCTTCAGATGCCGCGTATAGTGTAAATAAGGCTACTGATACTCTTGGGCTACTTTGTACAAAGAACATGTCTGTTTAACAGACTATTGGTCCACTTAGACTTTTTCCAAAACAACTAGTAGATTCTCTGCAAATATCATTTTTGTGGGAGTGTGGGCTGACCACTAAAACTGAACTTTTGTGATGAAGATAAGGCTGACTGGTTTATGTTTTCAATATGGCTGCTAACCTGGGCATACATGTGCACTAAATAACTGCATGTACAGATTAGGCCATTCGAAATTAATTATATGTTGGCCATTCTGATGAAGGGCCTTATATTAAAAACTACAAAACCTTTATTTATTTCAAGGGTTTTACACTGTGGCTAGTCGATCTATGTGGATGCAGTCAAGCACATGTAATGTTTCGTGAGTACCCGCCTCTGTACTTTTCAATGGAAGAAATTTGCACTTTTGTTTAAATAATCTACATTTACTCATCCGTGTATATCATACTTCATTGATTTACCAAACCAAAGCAACGCTATAAACGCACATTCTCTGATAATTTTACAGCGAATAGATAACTCAAACGAGTTCACTCGACCAGTTTTATCACCTTGCTCATAGCTGTGAGAAGGTATGGATAATTGCCATAGGTTTACCTTATAATGGGGAATAAAACATTCAAGTAATATAATTATTTCACGTACACAAATATGTCTGTGTGAAGTTAAATACAAATACAACGCATTTTATAATATTTTTGGGGTTATGGTATGAAATATCCGCTTTAAAAAAGCAATTTAATTATGATGTATCATGTGGATTAGTAGACGTTCTAATTGGATTCAATGAACAGACTGGCTAGGTTTTAATTGAATCATTTTGAATGTGTGTATTTTTAATATTTTACATATATTTCTTAAACGCTCTCATTGGATACATCAGGAAGAAACAAATATGGTTACATATAAACTTGAGTTGGGACAATAATTCAACAAAAATATAATTTTACAGTAGTACATGGTGAATATTTGATGCCCGACGATAATCTGATGTTTACTCAAGATGATGGACATCTTGATTTTATTTTCAATATATATCACAACTATTTTGTAGATGGATCTGGTTGTCGTACAGCCAGTGGAGGAAACTGCCCCAACACGCCACATGTGCGATGAATGCGGCAACCTTTTCAATAGCAAAAGCGCACTAAAAACGCATGGTAAAGAACCATGGCCTCCTCCACCAATGTGCTACTGCAATACTTATAGCGAAGCCTGTGTTGATCAGGACCATTTTTATTAGACTCCAGATGTAAATCTGGAGTCTATAGCTTTTGTCAGTATTCTTCTTCTTCTTTATTCTTCTACACACGTTTTCTCCTTAACTAGAAGACATTGAATCAAGTCCTGTATATGGTCAATTTAGGTCCAGTATATAGTTTCTCGGAAATTGGGTCAATTTTTTATCTAGGTCAAAGGTCAAGAACTAGGTCAAATCTTAAATCTGTCTATTATCTTCGTCGTTATTTATCGAAACAACTTTGTCTTTTTTTCATCATGTAGCTTAGAAACAGCCCTTTAATAAATGTGCCATCAGATTTTTGATTACTGTTACCGATTTTGAGATATGGTGTCCGGAAAGTAGGTCAGAACAAAAAATTCTCCAAATTCAACATGTGAGTTAAGAAATAAGTTTAGAATGATCTCAGGAATCCGAATCTGCAAACCAAATTTGGATCGGAAGTTATTGCGTTTTGAAAGCTCAAAAATCGCTAAATTTGGTGCCCATGTTAAGTCAATGGGAAAAAAGATTTTTTTGAAGTGAAAAATACGAAATATAGACTAAGTTCAGCTAAATACAATAAAAGCTTTTAAAAGAATGGAACCTCAAAAGCCATCTAGCTTCAAAATTTGGACACCAAAATGCCTAGGTCAAAATCTAGGTCAAATTCAATGTTTTTTCTTATTTTTGCGATTCTGACACTACACTTTAATTATATTCTTCGAAATGGTGTATACATGTAGCCAAGAGTGTGCTAATAGTGTTAGCCTTTTGCCGTCAGAAAGTATTTTGGCCCACTTTTCAAATTCAACGTATGAGTTATGAATTAGGGATAGAATTTTCTCAGGAATCCAAATCTGCAAATCAAATTTCGATCCGACTTCCGGTTAGGAAGTTATGGCGCTTTGAAATTTCGATAAAAATCGATCTGATGATAACCTTATAGAATTATTTTAAAGTCAAGAAAAGTGAAAAAAATTGAAAAAATACCTTTCCAGTCCATTTCCAGGTTCAAGTCAAGGTCCAGTCCAGGTCCAAGTCCAGTGTTTGTCTAGGTCCAAGTCAAGTCTAGGTCCAAGTCAAGTCCAGGGCCTAGGTCAAAATCTAGGTCAAATTCAAAGCTTTTCCTCATTTTTTCGATTCTGACATTACACTTTAATTATATTCTTCGAAATTTGGTATATATGTAGCCAAGAGTGTGCTAATAGTGTTAGCTTTTTGCTGTCAGAAAATATTTTGACCCACTTTTGAGATATGGTGTCTGAAAAGTAGGTCAAAATAAAAACTTCTCTAAATTTAACGTATGAGTTATGAATTAAGGATAGAATTTTCTAAGGGATCTGAATCTGCAAACCAAATTTCGATCCGATTATGTTATGGCGTTTTGAAATTTCGAGAAAAATCGATCTTATGGTATCCTGATAGAAAGTCAAGAGAAGTGAAGAAAATGTTGAAAAATCCATCCATCCTTCCACCCATCCTTCCTATCTTATCCTTCCTTCTATCTATCTTTCCTTCATATCTTTTCCTTTCTATCCTGTCCTTCATATTCTATCCTATCCTTCTTTCCTACTCTATCCTATCGTTCCTTCTTATTCTATCCTATCCTTCCTATCTTATCCCATGTTATCCTATCCTATCCTTCTTATCTATCCTTCCTATCCTTTCATTTCCTTCCTATTCTATCATTCCTTGCTATTCTATTCTATCTCATCCTTTCCTATTCTATCCTATCGTTCCTTCCTATTCTATTCTATCCGTCCTTCCTATTTCATCCATTCATCCATCATTTTCTGGATGACTCAGTTTATTCTGGATGACTCGGCTTATTCTGAATGACTCGGCTTATTCTGGATGACTCGGCTTATTCTGGATGACTGGGCTTAAAAAAGTCTAGATCTGGAGTCTGAAATTGAACTTGTTCAATTTCCAAAGTCTAGTTATATTTTATTATCATAAGAATTAAAAGTAAAAATGAGTGAAGTCTTACCTCAGAAACTTCCCATGAAACAGACGAAAGCCCATGAACCAAAAGTATTTAGTTTCCTTTCTGTATCTTACTTGTTTGGCACATGGAGCGGTGAAATAGTCCACAGTGTCCAAAAACAATAATAATCCTATATTGGTAATTGGAAAGATTCCACTTACCACGATTTCAAAAAAATTGTAAATATATGATATAATTCTTGAATTTGGGTCATTTGTTTCAAGGAATCTGTAGGCTCTTTCAGCTGAGCTGACAAAATCACCAAGATTAATTACAGATGGTCCATCTGTTGGCTGCTCATTGTCACTTTCAAGGAATGTTAATGGCTCTGAAACTTGATCTGTGGGTATTTCAGTGGGTTGATGGTTCTTGGGCTCTGAATTCACTTGATTGGCGTACCTAATTTCAACATCTTCATTGTCATCATTACATGTTATGGACCCGTTTTTCAAATTAACAGTATTAGGGATGAAACCATAGTTTTTCCTTCTGTAATGGCATTTTCCAGTTGACGGGTCTATATAAAGTCTATCAATTTTCAATTCTTCATGAGGGTGTATTGTAATGGTGTGGCTAATTACTTCACTGAATAAGGAATGTTTATCCGAACAATGGATACAAAGAAAATCTGGCCAGTTGTCCATCTGTAAATAAATTATCATGATAAAAGCATAATTTATTATAGCATCCATTTGTTACCGTTCTGAATCCAAATGATACATAGTTGAATCCATTTGATACATATATGTTGACGTTTACGAAATGTTGTTCAAATATCTTCCCTATTACAGGAATATGCTAGCTGAAACTTTCACACATTGTCATACTATGTATATTGAATATGTATGCAAGATTTCAAGTCAATATGTTAAGTAGAAACTCTGAGATCACTTACCTCGATTTTCTGTCATATTTTTTCAACGACCCCATTCACTATAATGTACGCGAGAACCCACGAAACATTGCATATACATGACTGCATCCACATTGATCGACTAGCCACAGTGTTTTATATATTATTTAATAGTGAAAATGCAATACCACATTGTGGCAAAGCAAGTAACAATGTCATTTGTATGCATTACAAGTACAGAGTACATGGGGACAATTTGTTTCTTTTGAAAACATAGAATTAAGTGGCATTAATTATAAAAAAATATTTGAATAGCCTGAGTATTTTCCTAAATAGGGAATAAGTAGAATTTATTTTAGGCAATCCTTTGAGTGTCATGCTATTTATACATGATGCTGCCTTATATTTTATGATATAAAAAAACGCAACAGATTCTTCTCTTGGAAAAGCACAAAACCAGTGATAACAGCATTGATTTCATTCAATGCACCATAAAGCCACGTCTCTTCTTTACAATGATATATCACACATTGATATTTGGTCATGGTTGGGAGAGTAATCATTCCATTTGCAAAGTGGGCCAAAATTAGCTTTGGGCCAAGTTATAAACATTGCAAAAGTCAGTGTACGGAGCCCGATGCAATATTGGACGAAAACATAAAACCAATGCTGACTGCATCCTTTTAATTCAATGTACCAAAAAGCCAAATTACTCCTCTTTGCAATGGAATATCATTCATTCACAGGGAGTCATCTCTGGCCGAATAATCATTAATTTTGCAAAGTGGGGCAAAATTCAGCTCGGACCCAAGTTTAAAACATTGCAAAAGTCAGTACAAGGGGCATAGGGGCTATTGGAAGAAGGTGTGACAGGTAATGGCATAGACAGTAAAGTGTTCATACTCATACTCTTGCAAGAATACATCCTATACCCCTCCAAATTTCCACCACATAAAGATGCGCTCATCTGTCCACGTCATGCATGGTTCAGCCCTGAATCATGTGTGGGTTAAAGCAAAGAAAACAGCCCATGGGCAAATCTTTTTCGAGGTTTTGCAATATCTGGTGGAGGAATTGTGAGCACAGATGCTCCTGAGATAGCTCCAAAAGAAAAAGTCACAACAATTCAAGTCAGGGGAACTTCCATCGGCACTTAGCCCTTGCACTAAATTTTTCAATATCTAAAACTTGGCGCAGAGCCGATTTTGACCCACTGTGCAAATGGAAGGACTTCTCACCCAACCATTACCACATATATGTGAATGTATGACATATCATTGCAAAGAGGAGAGACATGGCTTTATGGTACATTAAATGATATTGATGTAGTCATCACTAGTTTTGTGATTTTACGAAATAACTACTTGTTGCGTTTTTTTATACGCCCTGTATAGTATACTGAAAGAGGATTTTTCTGAATTATTTGTGTTTAAATATGGGAACTGCTAATTGGCAAATAACTTTAAGGTTAAATGTCCATAAAGACATTTAATTTCAAATTCCAAAGCAAATGCCAGTGGGCATTTATTAAAAGTGACCCTATAACTATGTAGAATATGGCAAACATGTTTAGAAAACTGGCGAGAAGCAATTGAAATAAGAACATCCATTCTCATGGAATTGCCCTCGTGTGCATTTAATTGCAGACATGTTATCCTAATTGCCCATGGGTCTAGCATCTAGCATGAAGTTCAGGTAATATATTACTTCCTGGTATTTGGCCTTGAGGATACGATTTTACGCCGTCCGAAGACAATGGACCTCATATTGAAATGTAATTGGCATAGAGATGGCACAAAACGGTGGTAATAGTATAGTATCTATATAACTGTATTACATACCTAGCGAAGCATTTGTATGGAAGTCAATGGGAAAGTTAGCGAGCTATATCCACCGATATTGCCCGATTACCCCGATATAGCCCGCTTACCTCGTTTTGATATTAGATTTCTTTAATAACCATGATAAAATCATGACGTCACGTCATTGATACAAAGTAACCATGGGAACAAAGGCATGTAATACATCAGTTATGTCACTATGACGTGAAATATGCCTTCGTTCTTGCCCAAATATAGAGCCTCTCAAGGTCGGCCTATATTGGGAGAACTCAGGCATATTTCACGTCATAGTGACATAACCTCTAAGAATAAAGCTTGAATAATAGATGCCACTCTTGTTTGTATTTAATTTGCTTGGACTAAACTTCTATTGACTTTAATGCAAGAAACCGGAGCTAGAAACTTGCATAGTCACTTGATTTCATGATTTATCAAAACGCGTTGGTCGAATCTGTCTGAAACTCGAATGGCATACTATTGTATAACCCTGTCAATGTACGTATTGTACATGAAAAATGTTTGGCGTCATTCGAATAAATCATTGCTTTAAAGGATTTTAGCATTACATCAATGGAGATTTGTCCCATGTTTTTTTAAAATGCCATGGAAAATGATTTAAAAGGTATAACTGTGTAAATCAAAGCTATTCTTTGAGAAAACGTTCCACTGACATCAAATATGCTATCAAAAATAAAGAAAATGAAATCATTAGAGGTAATAAGTGCAAATCTCTTAAAATCTCATTCCCGGGATCTCATTAAAAACGAGAATTTGCAAGATTTCAAAGCTATTTTGAAATTCCCCTATTGGATGACGTGTAGGCGAATGGCTCACTAGAACCGAATGGCACTCTGGCCAAAAATTAATATTATTGTCGATATCTATTTATTCATATTCATTCATCTATACGGCCCCGGTAGAGGGGGGAGGGGGCGAGATTTGTATTGGCACATTCAATTACCAATTTTGGAAACAGGCCTCATTTGCCATCGAAATATCTCTGTGAATGTTCGCTGTTTTGTAAATATTCTCTGCAAGTTTGAATGGATTAACTTAAAATTCTTTTTAACTGATGTTAAGATTTCAAATTTTACTTTAGCAGGCCTGTCAACTTGGGAACACCTAACATGAGTGACTTGGAAATGTTGAACACCGTCTCAAAATGTGGACACCTTGGTCCAAATCTGAACACCTTGATCCAAATTTTGAAGACCTTGGTTTAAATTTTATTACATCTTGCCAAATTTTGAACACCTCAAATTTTTCGCGCGTGACTTCAAATTCTTCAGCTAATGCGTGACAAATACGCAAATTGCGGGACAGTTGACAGGCCTGCTTTAGTATGCATGGCCCTAGGAGAGATCATGGTGAAGATTGTTTAGAAAATTATTTCCATAAATACGAAGGAACATGACAGAATTATGGGAACCACTCATTTCTCCAAGAGCTCCCTTATTGGAAGCTGAATATAACTCTCCTGAAGAAATATACTAATCGGGATTCTCGCAGACATATTCAATAAGCTTGAAAGTTGATAACTGATCTCATAGACACGAACAGGGATCATTGGAACCCGACAACTATGGATCCGAGGCATTATACTCAGTGGTAATTGGAAGAGGACAACTATGCACCTTGGGCATAGTCCGTGATAATTTGAAGAGGACAACTGGATATCAGGCATATTCAATTGTAATTTGAAACGGACGATTAAGTTATATTTGATACTACCAAGAAGGAATGCAACTAAAACTAAATCGTCTGCAAATAGCATATTGCTAACATTTTGAGTTTCAAGGGATGGAGATTTCCCAATATTACTAAAATTTTTGTTTGATATAATAGTGCAATTTGTGACTGGCATCAGATTTATGCCAATCAACGTAACTTTTAACAATCTTCCCAATGATACGTGTATATCATACTAAATTTTGGTACCATATATCTCGATTTCGGCTGTAGAGGGGACTTATTGGACATTTTCATTGCATTTAGACACAATAGAACTCTAATTTAAACATGGTCTCAATATTAGCGTCAGAGAACCCATACATATAATTGTCATATCCCGGGTGTCATATAGACCTGATGATTTTTATGGGATTAGCATCTAGCATGAAGTTCAGGTAATATATTACTTCCTGGTATTTGGCCTTGAGGATACGATTTTACGCCGGCCGAAGACAATGGACCTCATATTGAAATGTAATTGGCATAGAGATGGCACAAAACGGTGGTAATAGTATAGTATCTATATTCCTGAATAAAGCTTGAATAATAGATGCCACTCTTGTTTGTATTTAATTTGCTTGGACTAAACTTCTATTGACTTTAATGCTAGAAACCGGAGCTAGAAACTTGCATCAAAACGCGTTGGTCAAATCTGTCTGAAACTCGAATGGCATACTATTGTATAACCCTGTCAATGAACGTATTGTTCATGAAAATGTTTGGCGTCATTCGAATAAACCATTGTTTTAAAGGATTTTAGCATTACATCAATGGAGATTTGTCCCATGTTTTTTTAAAATGCCATGGAAAATGATTTAAAAGGTATAACTGTGTAAATCAAAGCTATTCTTTGAGAAAACGTTCCACTGGCATCAAATATACTATCAAAAATAAAGAAAATTAAATCATTAGAGGTAATAAGTGCAAATCTCTTAAAATCTCATTCCCGGGATCTCATTAAAAACGAGAATTTGCAAGATTTCAATGCTATTTTGAAATTCCCCTATTGGATGACGTGTAGGCGAATGGCTCACTAGAACCGAATGGCACTCTGGCCAAAAATTAATATTATTGTCGATATCTATTTATTCATATTCATTCATCTATACGGCCCCGGTAGAGGGGGGGGGGGCGAGATTTGTATTGGCACATTCAATTACCAATTTTGGAAACAGGCCTCATTTGCCATCGGAATATCTCTGTGAATGTTCGCTGTTTTGTAAATATTCTCTGCAAGTTTGAATGGATTAACTTAAAATTCTTTTTAACTGATGTTAAGATTTCAAATTTTACTTTAGCAGGCCTGTCAACTTGGGAACACCTAACATGAGTGACTTGGAAATGTTGAACACCGTCTCAAAATGTGGACACCTTGGTCCAAATCTGAACACCTTGATCCAAATTTTGAAGACCTTGGTTTAAATTTTATTACATCTTGCCAAATTTTGAACACCTCAAATTTTTCGCGCGTGACTTCAAATTCTTCAGCTAATGCGTGACAAATACGCAAATTGCGGGACAGTTGACAGG